CTTTCCTTGTCCTTGATCTTTGCCATTTTAATTATTATGTGTCTTGGTGTTGTCCTCCTTGGGTCCTTTCTGTTGGGAGTTCTGTGTATTTCCGTGGTCTGTTCAATTATTTCCTCCCCCAGTTTGGGGAAGTTTTCAGCAATTATTTCTTCAAAGACACTTTCTATCCCTTTTTCTCTCTCTTCTTCTTCTGGTACCCCTATAATACAGATATTGTTCCTTTTGGATTGGTCACACAGTTCTCTTAATATTGTTTCATTCCTGGAGATCCTTTTATCTCTCTCTGTGTCAGCTTCTATGCGTTCCTGTTCTCTGGTTTCTATTCCATCAATGGCCTCTTGCATCTTATCCATTCTGCTTATAAATCCAGAGTTTGTTTCACTTCTGTAATCTCCTTCCTGGCATCTGTAATCTCCCTTTGGACTTCATCCCTTAGCTCTTGCATATTTCTCTGCATCTCCGTCAGCATGTTTATGATTTTTATTTTGAATTCTTTTTCAGGAAGACTGGTTAGGTCTGTCTCCTTCTCTGGTGTTGTCTCTGTGATCTTAGTCGGCCTGTAATTTTGCCTTTTGATGGTGATAGAGATAGTTTGCAGAGCTGGCACGAGTGACGGCTGGAAGAACCTCCCTTCTTGTTGGTATGTGGCCTTCCTCTCCTGGGAGAACAGCGACCTCTAGTGGCTTGTGATGGGCAGCCCCCTCGCGAGGCGCTGGGTTCTCGCAGGTGTGGATGTGGTCTGGCTGTTATCCTGTGTCTTCTGGTCTCTCTTTTAGGAAGAGTTTTCTTTGTTGTATTTTCAAAAATATATGTGGTTTTGGGAGGAGATTTCTGCTGCTCTACTCATGCCGCCATCTTGGCTCCACCCCAGACTTTTCAATAGTAGCACTGTGTTCCAGGAGACAACCTAAGCAACATCTTCAAGACACTCAAGAAAAAAAAGAGAGAACCAAGGACTTTATGTGTAGCTAAACTGAGTTTCAAGTGCAAAAGCCATGGATCAATAACCAGTAAGAACATGAGAGAAGCCAGGAAATATTATTTCCCATGAGCCTTTTCAAGGAATTTACTGGAGAACAAGTGGCAGGCAATCAAATTAACTGGAGAGGTATTAGCATAAGGGCTGGGGTGAGCATTAAATTTATAGCCACCTGTAGGCTTTGCACTAAATAGTGACTGTCAGGGAGACAGTACAATATGTAATGGCTGTATGTTCTGATCATGCAGAAAGAGTGCAGGAATTAAAAACTGGGAGAGAATGGACTGTGTATATGAAAAGTTTAAGTTCACATATTGCCTTTAAGTATTAACTAGAAACAAATGGGCATTCAAATTAGATGCTAGAAGAAAGAGAAGAAAGAGAAATAGAGGCTACTGGCTAATGACAGTATTCCTCATAGTAGGGAACCAATGACACTACCAAAATGGGGTAGGGAAACTAAGGTTATTGTATAAAAGGTATTGATTTAATCGTAACATCAGAATAACAATGACAGCCTTTTTCCCACAGAAGTCAGGGAGCAAGAGGGAAGAACCACTTGAGAGCACATCTCCCCTGTCACATGGACCTTCAGGTTGACCATGTCCTATCTCACCACTTCTCCAGTCTATAAAGATGTGCCTCCTCCAGACAGCCTTCTCTAATTGCCCTAGCACATATTAATCTCCCCATTCATCTGCCACACCTAGGTATGGTTACCTTGTTCTCTGAATATTTCATCTGTCTCACCTGTGAACAGAGATGGAGTGCTATATGTAATTGTACAGTACCTCTTTCAGAGTCTGGCACAAGGTTCTGCATACAGAAGTTACTCTGTAAATGCTGGTTCATCAGTAACAGGATTGATGAAAGGATTTGGGCTTATAGCCCCTGGGTTTTTCTAAGAATTTAGTGTTGCAATTAGTCAAAATTATTCAGTTTGAAATGACAGCCATCCAATTCAAATTGCCTTATGAAAAAGAGGAACTTATAGGCCTTTGGAATTGAAATGTCCTGGAATATTCTGATTACAATAATAGCTGGATCCAGGGACTCAAGCCATATCCCCAATATCAGTCTTTCTTTGCTCTGGACTCTGCTTTCCTCTGCATTGGCTTAATTCTCAGGCAGGCTTTTCCCTCCTGGTCAGTGATGATCCCCTAGAAGTTACAAGCTTAACATCTTCAGAAGAAAAGAATGTATCCCACTGGCAATAGCTACAGCAAGAGTCCCAGGATTGAGTTTCACTGGCCTGGCTTGCATCAGATGCTCATCCCTGAGCCATCACTGTGGCCCAGAGAAATGCTTTCTATTGGCCAGGCCTGGGCCATGTGACCACCCCTGAAACAACCTTCTGAATGGGGAAGAGGTGGTTTCCCAAAGGAAAATTAGGGTGCTGTTACCTGAAAAGGGAAGATGGATGCTAGATGGGCAAAAACAGCAGATGCCTGTTTTAGTGTATTCGTGCTCAATGAGCAAACTGCAAGAAAAATTCCCTGTAAGTGAAATCATTATTTCAGAGGTGGGGAAACATCTTTAGGATTGTGTGTATGGAAAGCTCTCTTTGGTATATTCAAAGTCACAGAGTGTTTGTTTACCCTTTTGGTGGGTTGGGGTGGGAGTACAGACCACCCATCTTGTGGCCCAGTCACAGTAGAGGAGACAGCTTTCCCATAGGTCTGTGGGATTCTGTCTCTCCGGCCTGCACATTCAGCCAGACAACAGTGAAGGATCTGGGAGGAAGGACATTTAATTTGCAGAGGCATTAAAAAAAAGTGTGAGAGTCTTGAGGAGCAGTGTTTGATGGAATGCTGAGTACCCCAGTGGGTTGCCCCTGGGATCTGGTTTCCTGTTTCCTGAGTCAGCAGCTGTACTGTTTTTTTGCTTCTCCAGATGGCCTAGAGATTCGAGAAAGCACCGGTGTCCCCTGAACACTAGAACAATCCTTTTCTGGGCAAAATATCTCAATTTCTTTTTTCTTGGGGATTTGATTACCTGGCATGGGTCACTCTACCCTTGATTTGCGTAAAGGGATCCACAGAAGTAGCAAATTGGGAAACTGAGGCATCACAGGAAGACTTAAAAATACATCCCTTCTCTCCTGAATCTTCAACATTTTTGTCTGCACCAGATTCTTCCTGTCAACATTTAAGCATCCTCGTGTTTCTACAAATATTTCTAAAAATATTCCCTAAATTTTACTTACCCTTTCCCTACTACCCTATCTCCCAATTCCCCTTTATGGCAAAATTTCTTGAAAAAGATTCATTATATTCCCTCTTTCCATTCCTTCCTTGCCATGTCTCAATCCACTCTGATCTGCTAGCATCCCCCACCCCACCCCAAAACACACACTTCAACTAAGAGCTCTCCCCAAGTCCCTCATTTAGCTCCAAGGCACTAAACTCAGTGACCTATGTTAGAGGGAAAAAAATATGTTTACTTCTTAGGCTGAGAGGCAGCGTTATGATAGTCAATTTTAATAAGTATTTGTTGAATGATTTCACAAACTTGAGCAAATCCAGTGTAGAGTGATCTATACTGTGCAATCAAATCCCTGAGAGAGAGGAAATAGATTTTTCCTGAGAAGGGAAGAATTCTAGGATCTAGAAAGCTCTAGTGTTTTCTTCAAATCTCTAAAGTGCTACCACATGAAAAAGAGAGATGTGATCTAGATGCCCCAGAAGGAGGAGCACAGGAAGGGAGATTTCCTCTCATTTTAGAAGTGTTCTAATAGTCAGAACTCTGTAAAGAAGGAAGGGACTGCATCCATAGGTAGTGAATTCCCTGTCGCCGGCAGTAATCAAGCAGACACAGTTCTGTCAGGAGTACTCAGAAGAGTCTTGTGTGGGGTGGGAGGTTGTACTAGAGGACTTCTGAAATTCTGGCATTGGTTAAGCACGCATCTCTAGAAGTGGGTCTCCATGGCCTGGATCTACCACTCTCAGCTGCGTGGTCTTTAGCAAGTTATACAACCTCTCTGATCCTCAGTTTCCTCTACTGTAAAAGGGGGGCTAATAATAGCACCCACCACATAGGGCTGCTATGAATATTCAAGTGCAATAATGCATAAATGGCTCAGCACCAGTGCCTAGCACATAGTAAGCACTCAATAAATGTTTGGTAGTATTTGTATTCAGTGCAAAGCCCTGCTCTGTAAATGGCATTTGATTCTCAAACATCTGTTTCTTCAGCTGCATTGGGGTTTTAGCTGTGGATTTTCCCTAGTAACTTGTAGGAGCCAGGCTCACAGAGAGCCCAGGGAAAAGTAGAGAGAAAGCATCATAATCAGTGGTGTGTGTGTCATGCTGTCCACAGCAGTTTTTGTCAGGGAGGAAACCTGTAGACTAAGAAAGTAGTTTCCATCTGTACCATGTAAGAAGTCTAATGTGTTTATTTTGAAAGGTGATAAAGATAAAGGTGGGCCTCCTCTTTCTCCTCCTGTCCATTCCCTACTACCTATGTTATGCTCAGGTCAGCTATGCAAATTCTTTTGTCCTGGATGAAATACTATGTTGGTTTTTCATGGTAGTCTTAATCACAAAGATAAGAAGTCACTTGTTCTGTCTTAACCATGGCTTACCTAAGCAGCATGTACTGGATCCCAGGAGCTTGCATTCCATATTGCATGAATCTTCTTAGCAATCTTGAGGGAGAAATTCATTCCCCACTTTGTAGATGAGAAGACTAAGTTTCAGAGAGGTTAAGTAACTTTCCAAGATCACACAGCTGGAGAGGGATCTAAACATCTACATTCTTGCAAACTATTTATATTTTATATTTAGCAAACTATTACCCACCACCTCCAGAAAGTTCTGGAATTCATTAAGGACATTTATATTTAATGAAGTAGTTCCCCAAGAAGAGAACTCCTAAAAAGCATTCCTGAGACTGTTAGGGAGTTCGATTATCCCTTTGTCAAGTCTTTTTGGAGGGTAAGAGGCAGGTGGGGGTTTTTAGAGAACAGGGCTGCCGCATATCTGACTTCTCTTTATGCCAACTTCTTTGTGCCTTCCTACAGGTCTGGGTAGATGCTGGGACGCAGATCTTTTTCTCCTATGCCATCTGCCTGGGTTGTCTGACTGCTCTGGGAAGTTATAACAATTATAACAACAACTGCTACAGGTGAGCACTTCCCTGGGCCCTCCCAGCTCACCACCAAACCCTGGGAGCTCTCCACGCCACCAGGCTACTTCACATTTGTCTTCCTACCTTGCAGGGCCTAGAGGAGATGGGCTGTTTCTCTGTCTTCCTGTGCCCCAAGGTCAAAGAGTGGGTCCCTGGAGGAGCTAGGAAAATAATAAATGCAGTCGGAGTGCATTCCAGGCTGCAGGCGGATTCACTCCTGAAATCCTATTCAGACCTCCATCTCACATTGTTCAACAGATTTGTCCCAGATTGTATAAGTGACTTGCCCAAGGTCATATAACTAGTAAGTGGCAAAGCCAGGATATGAACCTAGGACTTCTAATACTAACCACCTTGTTATTCTGCCTCCTGTTCAGCAACCTGCCTCTGCACCTTCTCTCTCAACTGTAGGGTCCTCTCCTGTCCCACCTGGAGTGGCTGCTGCCCCATCCTGTCCCTCAATCTCACTCTCTGACCTCCTGCATCTGGTCACACCCAGCTCTGGGAAGAGGGGTCTAGGGGAGGGGGTGATCCTGAGGCTGTCTGACCCTGGCTGCCTTGTCTCTCATGCCTTCAGCCTGTGGGGCTGAGACTCACAGAGGGTCAGGGACTTGCCCAACATCACCCAGAAGCACATGGTAGAAGTGAAATTGGCACCCTGGACTCCAGCTCTAGGCTGATGGTCTGCTTGCTGAGGTCCCTGTACCCCTGTATTCGGTGCCTGGTCACAGCAGGTGGCTCTTCAGGGCTGGAGAGATAGCACATCTCTTCCATAGAGTCCAAGAGCTCCTTATTCAGCATGAGCTTGTGGAGTGATGGCAAGGAAGCCATCGCTGAGCACAGATTAGCTGAGAAGAGGTCATTTCAGCAAATGATTCTGAGGTATGATACATATTTGAGGAGAAATAACCAAGGACTTCTAATACTAACGACCTTGTAGTTAGGACCAAGATGATTCTTCATACTTTGTCCCATATGTGCTCCACAGGTTCATTAAATAATTTGTAGAAGAAAACCACCTTAAAACTAGAAATAAAATAGAATTTTATGTAGAAGACATCAAAATAATGAAAGAAATCAAAGGAAGACAGTGACAGATTGATCAAAATAAAAATCTAGAAGTAAAATTTCTGGAAAGAAACACAGACCTGAAATTGGTGGTGAGTGGGACTCGAAAGTCAGACATCGGGAGAGGGATTTGTTCTCACCTTTCCTCTCCTATACAATTTAAATGTTTTGTTTTATTTTTACTCTGAGTAGATACTGCCTTTACAAATAAAAAAAATCAAGTTAATGCACATATTACCTACATACCCTTTTGTATTTTATCTACAAATCAAATATGGAAGTCACCTACAAAATCAAACATACAACATGATACTCAAAAAGTATGCTCTGGTCTATTACAACAATATATGATACTCAAAAGGGCTTATTTCCATAATACATAAAGAATACAAAGAGATCAATATGAAAAATATTAAAACACCAATAGGAAAATCAGCAACACACTCTTAAAATGAGATTGTTTTCCTCAACAAGCAAATTAGCAGTGGTCTAAAAATGGACCCTGTTTGATGTCAGTAAGGATTTAGTGAGAGGATCATGTAATACTCCACTGTGGGATGGGAACCTGAACCTAACAACCACACAACTTGGTTGTTGTGTGGCTCAAGTGAGATCATGCATTTGAAAGAACTTTCGACAATGATAAAGTCCTTTTCACATCATCCCTCTTTTCAAGATAGGGGAACCGAGGGTCATGGAGGTGGCCCCCAGCTGGATGTGGTAGAGCCTGGACTCTGGCTGAGCTCTCCCAGTGTCCATCCCAGAGCCGTGCTGCGCCTCCCTGAAAGCCAGCTTCATGATCGCTTTATTAATCGATCTGTTAAGTCAACCATGTGCATCGTGTGTATACCAAGTGGGAGACACCAGAGTCAGTAACTTGAGGAAACTGAGGCACAGAGGAAGTAAAAGTGGGCAGGTACCACATATTGAAAAGAAAAGCCATCCTGGAGTCCACTGTGCCATTAGGCAGCAAGTTCTGTTGTTCCTGGGGGCCTTTGCGCAGAGAGGCAATTGGGTATGGTAGACAGAGGGATGCTAGAGAGGTTGAAGACCAGACTAGGTTGTCCATAAGATCCTTTCTGCCTTCAAGGTGTTCACGGGGAGGTGGGTCTGGGGGATGAGAAGTAAAGCACTCTGTCAGCCACACTACAAAAGAGTTACCATGGACAAGGAGAGGAAGGCACCAGGATGGGGGAACAGCTCAGCAGACCTCTGGTCTGGGTTGGGTGTGACCCCCTGGGGATATCGGAAAGGGATGCTATTTGCATACAGTAGGCACTACATAAGCAGCCAGAGTTCACACACAGTCTTCTGTCCTGGGCACTGTGGAAGTCACTTGGTCACTGTCTGTCTCATCCAGCTAGGCTGTCAGCCCCTTGAGAAACCATGTCTTCTTGTTCAAGCCTAGTGTAGTGCTGGATGACATGTGTGGAAGCAAGGAAGTAGCCAGACCATTATACAGATGAGGAAACTGAGGCCCACAAGTAAGGCACTACTTATGTTCACATTGCCAGTGTTGGAACATGGTTTTGAACCCAAGCCTTTCTGGCTCCTGTACCCTATTCCTCACTGCCGGGGATGGCCACCTCTTTCCCCTCTACTGTCACTGTCAGGGATTTGGCCTGGTCATCAGGCTGTATCTCAAGGCAGTGGCAACTTTCTTCCCCATTGAGCACGTGGGTGAAATAAGCTGGCTGCCACAGATCCTGTCTGCTGTCCAGATCTTCCCCTCCCATCAGCAAAAGAAAGCAAACCCCCCTAGGTGACATTGTTAATCTGAAGGCTTGTTTTATTTCCGTTTCCAAATTGTTCCGTGAGCAGGTCTCCCCCAACTGAGAGGGTGTAAATTAGAACCCTCTCTTCTGACAATAAAATAGCTTCTGGAGGTCTTGAAAGCCCAGTTCAGTTCCTGCCAACTTTAAAGTGCTTGTTACATAAGCTTTTCACCTAGAAGGTGCCCTGCAGGAAGGAATTGGAGGGAGAGGGATGAATCAAACCAGGCAAGGAAAATCCTCTCTGCAGAGCACAGGCTGCTGAGCGCTGTCTGCCTGAAGGCGGGGGTGATCCAAAGGTGGGGGTGCAGGACGCAGGGCTGGGAAGAACCCAGGTCTGCTCAGAGCTTCTCAGTCCCCCTGTGGTATAAGGAAATCATTCAGGAGGCCTCTGGCGGAAGATGGAGACTCTGCAGTAAGGAACATTTGTTTCTCAACAACCACACAGATGCCCACAGGTGATTGTCCTCAAGTCAAGATTTGGAAGTCTCAGTTCTTAGGGGGCAACATTTTTACATATCTCCTAGAAAAAGCATGGGCTTTGGCTTAGCCAAAGCCTGAGATTAATGGACACCCCCCCCAAATTCACAAGTGAATTTTGGTGACTGTAAGACCTTGAGTGTAACTCTCCTTCCTGAGCCTTGAGATTCAGTGACACAGACACCCTAGCACAGGATGCAGCATGTTGCAGCTACCAGTATACAGGAGAATCCCCAAATTTAGAGAGTATGGAGAAAGCTTTCCTCATCAGTACTATCTTGTTTTCCATTATTTGATAAATCAGGCATGAGGAGACTTACTCAGCCTTAAGAATAACCCTGCCCTTAACCTCAGTGAAGCTGAATTTCCTTTTGAAACAAGGTAAATCTGGCTTGCAGATAAAGTCTTCAGGTCTGCCAGCCCAACCCATATCTACAGTGCCTTTAAAGGGCCTGTATCAGTCACTCACTGCCACAATAATTCTGTGTAACAAACAACCCCAGAACTCAGTGGCTTGCAACAACTATTTGCTTTTACTGCGCACAAGTCTGCTGGTCAGCTGGGGAAGCTCTCCTGCAGGCTGTAAATTGAGTGAGTTTGGTGCCAAGGTCCAGGCCAGCCTCCAGTCTGCTCCATGTATACACATTCTCAGGTACAGGCTTCACAGACAGCAGCTCCCTGGGGAAGTTCTTCTCACGGCAAATCACAGAAGCAATAAAGGACAAGTTCAGTCATACAAGCACATCTGAAGCCTTTGTTTGTGTTACATCTGCTAATATGCTGTTGACCAAAGCAAGTCACAGGCTAAGCCAAAGTCAATGGGACAGGAAAATACACTCCAACCCAAGGAAGAACATAGAGGGAGTGACTACTTGCTGGCAAATTATTTAATCTATCACGAGGCCCAAGAGATCCTGTTATCCATGCACCTTGTCCTATAGCTGGTGAGATCAGGCCTGGAGACAAGATACTGCAGGGAAAATTGGAACTCAAGGTTCCTGACCCCCATCTAATGCTTTCTCTGATATGCCTTTGATTCTCAGAGTCATTGAAAGGCAACTGGGAGTCACAGTCCCTAACATAAGTATAACCTTTGATTACATTACAAAAAGTATGGTGTTGGAACTTGTTCATTATGCTTCAGAACCTGTTTGATGTCAGTAAGGATTTAGTGAGAGGATCATGTAATACTCCACTGTGGGATGGGAACCTGAACCTAACAACCACACAACTTGGTTGTTGTGTGGCTCAAGTGAGATCATGCATTTGAAAGAACTTTCGACAATGATAAAGTCCTTTTCACATCATCCCTCTTTTCAAGATAGGGGAACCGAGGGTCATGGAGGTGGCCCCCAGCTGGATGTGGTAGAGCCTGGACTCTGGCTGAGCTCTCCCAGTGTCCATCCCAGAGCCGTGCTGCGCCTCCCTGAAAGCCAGCTTCATGATCGCTTTATTAATCGATCTGTTAAGTCAACCATGTGCATCGTGTGTATACCAAGTGGGAGACACCAGAGTCAGTAACTTGAGGAAACTGAGGCACAGAGGAAGTAAAAGTGGGCAGGTACCACATATTGAAAAGAAAAGCCATCCTGGAGTCCACTGTGCCATTAGGCAGCAAGTTCTGTTGTTCCTGGGGGCCTTTGCGCAGAGAGGCAATTGGGTATGGTAGACAGAGGGATGCTAGAGAGGTTGAAGACCAGACTAGGTTGTCCATAAGATCCTTTCTGCCTTCAAGGTGTTCACGGGGAGGTGGGTCTGGGGGATGAGAAGTAAAGCACTCTGTCAGCCACACTACAAAAGAGTTACCATGGACAAGGAGAGGAAGGCACCAGGATGGGGGAACAGCTCAGCAGACCTCTGGTCTGGGTTGGGTGTGACCCCCTGGGGATATCGGAAAGGGATGCTATTTGCATACAGTAGGCACTACATAAGCAGCCAGAGTTCACACACAGTCTTCTGTCCTGGGCACTGTGGAAGTCACTTGGTCACTGTCTGTCTCATCCAGCTAGGCTGTCAGCCCCTTGAGAAACCATGTCTTCTTGTTCAAGCCTAGTGTAGTGCTGGATGACATGTGTGGAAGCAAGGAAGTAGCCAGACCATTATACAGATGAGGAAACTGAGGCCCACAAGTAAGGCACTACTTATGTTCACATTGCCAGTGTTGGAACATGGTTTTGAACCCAAGCCTTTCTGGCTCCTGTACCCTATTCCTCACTGCCGGGGATGGCCACCTCTTTCCCCTCTACTGTCACTGTCAGGGATTTGGCCTGGTCATCAGGCTGTATCTCAAGGCAGTGGCAACTTTCTTCCCCATTGAGCACGTGGGTGAAATAAGCTGGCTGCCACAGATCCTGTCTGCTGTCCAGATCTTCCCCTCCCATCAGCAAAAGAAAGCAAACCCCCCTAGGTGACATTGTTAATCTGAAGGCTTGTTTTATTTCCGTTTCCAAATTGTTCCGTGAGCAGGTCTCCCCCAACTGAGAGGGTGTAAATTAGAACCCTCTCTTCTGACAATAAAATAGCTTCTGGAGGTCTTGAAAGCCCAGTTCAGTTCCTGCCAACTTTAAAGTGCTTGTTACATAAGCTTTTCACCTAGAAGGTGCCCTGCAGGAAGGAATTGGAGGGAGAGGGATGAATCAAACCAGGCAAGGAAAATCCTCTCTGCAGAGCACAGGCTGCTGAGCGCTGTCTGCCTGAAGGCGGGGGTGATCCAAAGGTGGGGGTGCAGGACGCAGGGCTGGGAAGAACCCAGGTCTGCTCAGAGCTTCTCAGTCCCCCTGTGGTATAAGGAAATCATTCAGGAGGCCTCTGGCGGAAGATGGAGACTCTGCAGTAAGGAACATTTGTTTCTCAACAACCACACAGATGCCCACAGGTGATTGTCCTCAAGTCAAGATTTGGAAGTCTCAGTTCTTAGGGGGCAACATTTTTACATATCTCCTAGAAAAAGCATGGGCTTTGGCTTAGCCAAAGCCTGAGATTAATGGACACCCCCCCCAAATTCACAAGTGAATTTTGGTGACTGTAAGACCTTGAGTGTAACTCTCCTTCCTGAGCCTTGAGATTCAGTGACACAGACACCCTAGCACAGGATGCAGCATGTTGCAGCTACCAGTATACAGGAGAATCCCCAAATTTAGAGAGTATGGAGAAAGCTTTCCTCATCAGTACTATCTTGTTTTCCATTATTTGATAAATCAGGCATGAGGAGACTTACTCAGCCTTAAGAATAACCCTGCCCTTAACCTCAGTGAAGCTGAATTTCCTTTTGAAACAAGGTAAATCTGGCTTGCAGATAAAGTCTTCAGGTCTGCCAGCCCAACCCATATCTACAGTGCCTTTAAAGGGCCTGTATCAGTCACTCACTGCCACAATAATTCTGTGTAACAAACAACCCCAGAACTCAGTGGCTTGCAACAACTATTTGCTTTTACTGCGCACAAGTCTGCTGGTCAGCTGGGGAAGCTCTCCTGCAGGCTGTAAATTGAGTGAGTTTGGTGCCAAGGTCCAGGCCAGCCTCCAGTCTGCTCCATGTATACACATTCTCAGGTACAGGCTTCACAGACAGCAGCTCCCTGGGGAAGTTCTTCTCACGGCAAATCACAGAAGCAATAAAGGACAAGTTCAGTCATACAAGCACATCTGAAGCCTTTGTTTGTGTTACATCTGCTAATATGCTGTTGACCAAAGCAAGTCACAGGCTAAGCCAAAGTCAATGGGACAGGAAAATACACTCCAACCCAAGGAAGAACATAGAGGGAGTGACTACTTGCTGGCAAATTATTTAATCTATCACGAGGCCCAAGAGATCCTGTTATCCATGCACCTTGTCCTATAGCTGGTGAGATCAGGCCTGGAGACAAGATACTGCAGGGAAAATTGGAACTCAAGGTTCCTGACCCCCATCTAATGCTTTCTCTGATATGCCTTTGATTCTCAGAGTCATTGAAAGGCAACTGGGAGTCACAGTCCCTAACATAAGTATAACCTTTGATTACATTACAAAAAGTATGGTGTTGGAACTTGTTCATTATGCTTCAGAAGATTGGAGACTGACGAGAATTAGGCTTGAGATGGATTAATGATTGTACATTGAGCATTGACCCCCCTATACTGAATTTTATTGTTGTTAACAATCATTTGATCAATAAATATGAGAGATGCCCTCTCAAAAAAAAATTAAAAAAAATAAAATAAAATGAGTTAAAATTACAAAAAAAAAAAAAAGATGGTGTTGGGAGAAGAGGAGGTGAGAATCCTGCTCTGCTTTTGAGTCTAGTGTTCAGTCCTGAATGTGACATTTGAAGAGGGACTGGACAAGCTGGAGTGCATTAGAGATCACGAGCAGGATGAGGAGCTGATAAAAGAATTAAAATGTTTAACTGAGAGAGCCAAACATTCAAAGGGATATAGAGCCACTATCTTCAGCTCTCTAAGCCTGAAGGAGTTCCAGGCTGTTTGGGAGGGTAGAACTAAAACATCCTAGAGAAGGTGGACTGTGGCCAGGCACACTTATGAGGATGTTCTTACTGCTGTAAACAGCAAGAGCCATCCAGCAAGGGGAAAGCACTGTGGAACAAGGTGACTAGCTCCTGCTTGCTTGGGTGTGAGCAGAGGCAGCTCACCACCATGCCAGAATGATCTGGGCCGGTCATGCCTCAGTTGAGAGGTTGGACAGGCTACCTGGGAGCTCCTCCCTCCAAAGTGAAACATCCTGTGTATTGCAAGCCTACCTGGTAAGAGTCTATTCTGCAGCAGCTGAGACCCTCCGAGGCTGCCTCCCTGACTTAGCCTCATGAGGGTGAGGGGCCTAAGGCAGGAGGGGATGGGTTCATCTTCCTTGTCTTGGTAAAACCCAGTAATTGTAGTCTGACTTCTCCTGGGTCATGGCTTCATGCTGGTGCCTCTTTGCTGGGAAGCCAAGGGCAGGGGACAGTCACTGCTGTGGGAAATCCCTCCCTGAGGGGTCCAGCCTGGAAGGGGGTGCTCCCTCACAGCAGCAGAGCAGGGACTAAGCAGTGAGGTCTGAGTATGATGCTCCAGTAAATAGCTTGGCTAGGAGGAATCTCTCCTCCCAAGGCTGCTGGGAGCTTCCGGTGTGAAGTCTGAGGGTGCTACCCTGGCTGAGAAGCAGGCATTTCTCTGAGGCTTCTCCTGCCTTCCTTGCTTTGAGCAAGCTGGAAACCAATCCTCTCTTACTTTCTCTGGGTTTCTCACTTACCAGGGTTTGGTAGGAATGTTGATTTGTCTCCAGGTATTTCTCAGTAGTTGTGTACTTTCCCACTTGCCAGCACTCTTTTGTTCTTCTTGTCCATGATATACCAAATCTTCTAGAAATACAAGGGAATCTGTGTGACCATGGGGCAGCCACTTAACCCCTCTGAACCATGAGGGCTTCATTGGTCAAATGAAGCTGTCCATGCCCACACTGCCTTGTCTGTCCCCCAGGATGGCCGCAGTGCTCAGACAGAATGTTCTAGCATTGTGCCTGTTCTGCACAGTCTGACCCAAGCCCTTCTCACTGCTTCCCCACAGGGACTGCATCATGCTCTGTTGCCTGAACAGTGGCACCAGCTTTGTGGCTGGTTTTGCCATCTTCTCAGTCCTGGGCTTCATGGCATATGAGCAGGGGGTGCCCATTGCCGAGGTGGCAGAGTCAGGTAAGTTTGCCAAAGGTGAGGAGGCTGCAGGTGATGGTTATAATGAAAATATTATCTTCTTTCTTAGCCCATTCTTCTCCTGAGGTCAGATCTCAGAAGGTGACCCCATCATCCATCTTCAAACCAGAATCCTGGGAATTACCTGGGAAGAAATCTGGACACTCCTTCACTCCCAGAACCAGTCATCTCCATGTTGTGCAAATTCTACATCCTCAATGTCATTCCATTTTGTCCACTTTCCTCCCTGCTGCACTGTCTCCCCACCAGTCCAGACCACTGTCACCACTCACCTGGACAACCGCAGGAACTTTCCACTGGCTTCTCTGCCTCCACTGTTGCCCCCTCTGTCCCATGCTCTATCTACCCTGCAGAGTGATTTTTTCAGAATGCAAATTTGAACATGCCCTTTTCTGATGAACAGCCTTTCTTGGCTTCTCATAGTGCTGGATTCTTGGCATGGCTTCAAAGCCCTGTGCTGCCCAGCCCTGTAACCTCACCCCCTACCTTGTTCCCCCATTTCACTCTGCCCCACTGCAGTGGTCTGCTTTCACTTCTGTGACATAGCTTATTCCCTCCCACACCAGGGCCTTTGCACATGCTCTTCCCTCTGCTTGGAGGGCATGTCTCTCTCCCTTTTCCTGGATATAGAATCACTGTGAATGTAACATTCTTAAGTACTGATTGATGTGTGCTTGTATCACTATGGGCAGGGCTGTTGTTGCTGAGGTGTCTGTGCAAAATGAGAATATCTCTTCCCTTGATTTACATGGTGTTTGAATTCTGGGAAAATTCAGTGTATATTTAAAAATAAATAGTTTGTGTTTTCATAACAGATTTTAACCTACATAATCTAAATAGGTTTTTCACCTGTAAGACTGTCCAGTGGAACAGTTTGTTGGGAGTAGCACAGCAAACCTAGCCTCTCTGGTCTCCCTATACTCAATGTCAGTCATGCCCTTATTCACTGTGACAATGCCAAGCACCCCTGGGGACCACACTGCCTCTGCTGAGAACCATTGTCTATGGTGTCCTCTTCTTATCTGGCATGCACAGATAGGGAAGCACCCATCTGACCCACCAGGATGGGCAGGGTAGTGGGTATGGACATCAGAGAAAGATTGCCAAGCTCTGCTCTGGGCCTGCTCAGGACCCACTGCTTAGGTACCTTCCACCTCATACATCTTGACAGATGATGTATGTCAGAGGTGGAGATAGTCCCTGTGAAATCAGGAGTCCAGAGCTAGAACAGATGATATTAATATGATCAAAGGTCTAAGTCATCAAGTACTTACTCTGAGTTTAGCCCTCCAAGGTCGTTCTTTTACTACCCCCATTTTACAGATAAGCTGAGGTCCAGAGAGGTAAAGTCACTTACTCAAGATTACACAAGCTTGGATTTAGTCCAGGCCATCAGGCTCCAGAGCCCGTGCTCTGACCATGCCATCCTACTGCCCACTGTAGGCAGGACATTGACACTTCATGAAACATCCCTGCTCTTTCCTTCCTTAAACCACAGGGCAGCTGCCTGTGGAGGGAGCGGTGCCTTCTCTAGGGAGCTTTGACCTCTTAGAGAATCTGCTTCCTTCTCTGTAAAGTGAATGGTCCTACTTCAGGTGTTGAGTGAGATGGTATCAATAATAATAATTATTATAAGCACTATTACTACTTTTTATCAGAGAAGCTCAAAAAGGGGTTATGGAAAGGAGGCCATATATGGAAAGGAGGCCAACTAAAAATAAATGTTATTGGTTTTTTTTCTTATTTCAAATTGAAAGCATATTTATTTTAGAGAAATGTGGAAATCTTAACCAAGGGAAAACTCTCCAATCTGAATCTTACACTTTGGGGTTTTCCTGCCAGGATTTTCTGTGTATACATAATGACATTTGTGTCCCTGGAAACTATGTAAAATTATCCTTGATATTCTGTAGGCTGTATTTTTCCATTCACAATAAAGTATGAGGAGTTTTCTGCCTTAGTAAACAGAGATCTCAACCAAGAGTTTTCATAGCTGTGTAGTATTCCACTGGGCGGATGTACTATTACTGATTTACTTTGTGTCACTTGTCAAGCTCTGGATGGTTATTTTTCATACACTACCTCACAAAATAGTCATAACATGTCTACGAGGTAGGCTTTATCTGAGCCTCCATTTGTGGCTGTGCAGAATGTACCCTGCACAACTCCAGGGGGTACCATTCACAGGGACAGTAGCCCTGGGCTTTATCATGACTGTTACAGATGTGGACCCTATAGCTCAGAGTCTGAAGTGGTTTACCCAAGGTTACAAAGCCCATAGATGGTACAAACTGGCTCTGGCCTCTTCTGGCGCACCTACCTGTGTTGCTCCTGATGACCAGCAGGTAAGTCTACTCTCTGCCTCTGGCTAGGGATATGGATCAGACCAAGATTCTCCTTAGGAGCACCCATGATTTAGAGAAATTGCAAGTTGCAAATTAATGTGTGCCCTGCCTCAGAAAGACAGGCTCACTTTCTGAGGAATGATTTTTGGAAAATATTGAGTTCAATGGCAGATGTCCTGGCATACCTGGGGACTGAGCCATGCAGTCAATGTGCACTTTTTTTTTTTT